TCGAACGGGCATTTGGGAATTAACTGCCACGCTGGCAATGCACCGTCCTCGAGCGGGCACGAGGGACTCGGCCTCGGGAGAGAGGATCGATGCACGCAACAATCCGCGGGTAGGGTGGAACACCCACGATTTGAATTCAAAGAGCCCCACCAGACAGATTTTGGCAGTCTTCCGCGCCTCAACGCGCCAAGGGGCACGGTGGCGGATTACATTTCGGCATTGCCAATGACAGGAAGCACCAAGCTTTGAACCCGCGAGGCGGGAATCACAGCGGGCCCCCAGGGAGAACAATTAGGACGCAAATCTCAGGATCAGTGAGTGTTACTCCGGAGGCTTACGCCATCCCGCCGGCCCCCAAAAAAGAAGAAGCCTGATCCATTGGCGAGGCCGGGGACCCACTTGTGACCTCTAAGGGTATTTGTTTTGCCTCTCGGAACCCTTGTGGGACCTCTTGCGAGGTTTCTTGGACGCCCGCTGGCGGTCTCGGGGGTCCTTTCTCCGGGGGCCATAGCAGGGTTTTTTTGGGTCAACTCGGGCGCCTCTTGGGCCCCTGTCGGGCCGTTTGGGGCGCTTTTTGGGCCGCAGTGGAGCGATATTGTGGGCCTTTTGTGCCGTCTTGGACGGTGTCGGAAAAGGGAGAACAAATTGTTGTTATATATGTATCTACATATATTAAAAAAAAAGTGGCTGGGAGATGCCAGCCTCTTGGAGCCCTCTCCGCGGTCCTCTTGGGGCCCTCTCGGGGCGTCATGGAGGCCGTTTGGGCCGTCTTGAGGCCATGTTTGGTATTTAGAGGCCTCCTCTGCGTGCTGGATGGAGCCCAGCTTGAGCCAGATAGACCTTCGCCATGTTGGAGGCCACGGTATGTAGATTCTGAGGTTCTGGAGGCTCTGGGGGGGTGCATTGGCGAGTTCGTCCCCCGACGGGGCTCCCTTTGAGCCCCCCTCAAACGAGATTTCGGACCCAGGGGGAGGGGGAAAAGGGGAGGGGGACAGCCAAATGGTTCACACGCTTTGCCACCCCGGACAAGCGGGGGCCGGCGGATTCAGCAGGGGGATTGACCTGGACATGCGTGTGGCCGAACATTTCGGCCTCTTTTGTGGCCCTCGCGGGGTCAGTGAAGATGTTTCGAAGGCCCTCTGGGGGGTCTCTCAGGGCCTCCGTTGCCATCGTGGCGTCTCCTCTGGAGTCTCGGGTTCGTTTGTTGGGAAGAGTTTGAGGCCGGGTGGGGCGGTCTTGAACCCGTCTTAGACTTATTTGGGAGCCGTTTTGAGGGCCAGCTGCGAGCCTCTGGGGTCATCTTCGAGGCAACTTGGGTTATCCGGGGGGCGCGTCCAATAGCTGCCCAGCTCCTCCTGGAGGATTCTGGGAGCGAGAATGTGAGGTAACCAAAAACACTGCGGGAAAACATGTTGCTCGGTGTGTGTTGCGGATTTGGGTGCCTGGGTTCCCTGTTGGTACCAATGTCGGTGCTATTAGGATCTGTTGCGGCCTCTTGACCGTGTCGGATCGTTTCTAGGGCCGTCTCGAAGAGCAGATGGGAGCCGTGTGGGACCCCTGGGGAGGGGGACAGCCAATCATCCCGCACGACCCATCGCCCGTCGCAGGCGGGAGTCGGCACGCCCATAGCATTCAGAAATGGGTGAACATGGCACCCCGTCAGAGCTCATTTCGATGTTCCCGATTCGATTCGATTCGATTCGATTTCGATGGATTCCGATTCCGATTCGATTCGACCCGGTATTCCGATTTGGGTCCCGATGTGTCCTTGAAGGCATCTTAGCTTGCCGCTTTCAGCCTGTTCGAGTTTTTCCGACTCGGCTGCCGTTTTCCGCCGATCCGATTCATTTCGATGGCCGATCCGACTTATCGATTCGATTCTGGGCTCTTCTGCCTTGTGGACGTCTTTTTAGTGACCTCTCGGGGCCGCCTCCGCGCACGAGCCCTGCCCGCCTCCAGGGCGGGCTGCGGAGAGTGCAGAAGGAGGGAGGGGAAGGGGGGAGGGGAGGGCGAGGGAGGGAGGTTTTCGGAGGAGGGAGGGGGGACGAGGAGGAACGAGGGGGGGAGGGGAAGGGGAAGGGCTGGAGGTAGGGGGAAGGAAGGAGGGAGGGGGGGTGGGAGGGAGAGGGAGTGTAAGCTAGGTGCGTCCGCGTCGTATCTGACGTCCTATCCCTCCCTCCCATCCCTGACCGTGGCGCAGATCATCTACTCTCTATTCGCGCAGTCGGGTGTCGAGCAGGACAATGATCCCGAAAGGGTACCGGGATGCATGTTAGAGCACGCTATAGGAAGACGTCGAAGACCACGGTAGAGCGTAGCAAGTCAGAGCATATCGTGGCATTGCGTGGTGAATCATTACATGAAAAAGTATTGAAACGCAAAGCATGGCATTGGAGATCAGCACCGGAAACCGCCGCAGCGCATGTCATGGCAAGGCACCAGGTTCCTTGTAGTGTAAGTGGATCGTCCGGGTGTTGTCTGGGCCTGCTCGAGCTGCCCACACGGATGACTCGCGCAGGTCGCCAGTGACCCTCCCGCGCCCCCACATGCTCTCGTAAAAATTGCGGGCCGTTTGGGGCGTTCGTTTTGGCAGATATGTGGGTTTGTCCGTTTCATTAGTTCAGTCAGTGTATGGCGAACGTTGCGGTAGTTCTTAGGTGTATGCCCGTCACGGCGAACGATCATTGGATCTTAGATGTGTTCATGTTGGAAGAGCCAGAAATGCGGCAATGAAGCGAATCATTAAGCGAGATCGTTTGCTTGGAAGGACCGACAATATCCAGATTGGAAAACGCACGAGCAACCACAGCCAGCTCACATCGTATGTGATACCACGCGCGGAAGGGGGGCTGGCTACTTTTTCATCAGCTCCAGGGGGGTGAGAACAGTATTCGTATTGTGTAACTGTGGATGGGGCAAGGCGGGGAATGACAAAAGTGAGCTGGAGAGACGGGGGGAAGGAGGGATGAGGGGAAGGCAGGAGGAATGAGGGAGGCTTTAGAAGGTTATATGGGTCCTTTCTCTTTCGATTTCGCCACCTTCTGCATGTCCCTCGTGTTATCTTCCAACCCGCAGTCTCCATGTGTCTGTCTCCCTCGTTCTCGTTTTCATGTGTTGTACTCTCTCTCTCTCTCTCTCTTGTCGTATATATACAGAATACATGTATCTATATATATATATATATACGTATATATACCGTTCTCTATCTCTCTCTCTCTCGTTATCTCTCTCTCTCTCTCTCTATATATATATATGTGTATCGCTCTCTCTCTCTGTGTTTCTCTCTATGTCTCTCTCTCTCTCTCTATCTTAACATTTCCTGTTCTATCTCCCTCTATACATAATGTTATCGGTTGTAAAGATAACTAAATTCCCTTGAGAAGTGCTTGCACTTAAGGGTTCTTATTTCTTTTCTGAGGAGTTGGGCATGGGCGTCGGTCTGGCGGCTCCGTGCTCGCCGTCGCCGCCACGTCGTCGGGCCTGCATGTCGGTCGGGCGGCTCCCTGGTCACCGTCGCCGCCCCGTCGTTGCCGTCCCTCCTATTTCGTCGCCGTCGTCGTCGTCGTTGTCGTCGTCGTCTTCCCTCCTCCCTCGTCGTTGTCGTCGTCGGCGTCGCCGTCCTTCCTCCTTCGTCGTCGTTCGCGTCGTCGCCGTCCTCCCTCCTCCCTCGTCGTTGTCGTTGTCGTCGTTGTCGCCGTCGTCGTCCTTCCTCCGCCCTCGTCGTCGCCTTTCGTTGGCGTCGTCGTCGTCGTCTTCGTCGGCGTCGGCGTCGGCGTCGGTGTCGTCGTCGAAGTCGTCGGAGACGTCGTCGGTGTCGTCCTAGTCGTTGTCGTCGGTGTCGTCGTAGTCGGTCTTAACAGGTTTTGCAAACCAAGTTGCGGGTGGGTGGGTGGGATGTTTGCGCAAGCAGTGGCGAGGACAGCTTCAAGACAGTCAAAGTGGATTGCACAACATAGTCTGCACCACATAGATTGCACCACATGTAGGGATACCAAATAGACTGCACCACATAGATTGGACACATTTATTGCACAACACGGGTTGCACCACACAGTTGCATTACGTCGGTTGTACCGCATAAAATGCGCACCACCGAGGTTAAATCACATATCTCACACCACATACACTTCACATACTAGATTGCACAACGTAGATCGCACAACATGTATTGCGCCACACGCATAGCGCTACGTCGATTGCACCACAATTATTGCAGAACCTAGATATTATAACATAGATTGCACACCATCTATTGCATGGCATAGGTTGCACGACGCAGATTGCATTGCATACCTTGTTCCAAAAATATTGCACAACGTAGATCACTAGAATCGCACTATTTGGGATCCACGCCAGATAACAAATATCTATCAGTCCATACATACATAGACAGTCGCATGCATGTACACACACACATCTATATATATATGTATGTGTGTATAGATGCAGTCACATCTATGCACCTCTCCCTTCCTATCAGTATCTCCTGTCCTTCCACCCATGTGTTCCTCTTGCCTCCCGCCCCTTCCTCATGTCGTCCCTCCCTGCTCTCCCAAACTGATTCCCCATGCATGTTCTTCATCTCTCTCTCTCTCTATCCCTCTTGTTCTCTCTTTCTCTCTCTTTCTCTCTCCCCCTCTTCCCCCTACCCCTCTCCTGCCATGCCTCCCTCCGTCCATCCCCTTCCCCTTCTCACATCACTGTCCCTCCCTCCTCTCAGTGGCCCCTCCCTCTTCTTTCCCCCCCTTTACCTTCGCTCCTCTCGCCTCCACCTGTCCACCCTCATCGGCATGCTCTCCGTAGCCATTTTGGCTCAAGCCATTGGGCTCTGAGCTGGCTCTGTTTCTCACCCTCGTCGGTGAGCACATCTGCACACTGACACCACGTAGGCGGCAATGGCAATGAATGCGGCCCGTTTCCGGAGATGCACCCCGTAACCCAGGCCTCCTTCGGCGCCACGATGGCGGCGCTAGTGGCAGGAGGAAAGTCGACGCGGCCAGGTTACAGAGGCATTCACGGCGGTGGCCCGTGGTGTCGCCCTTGGTGCGAAGCAGGCGAGTGGCGCTGCCGTGCAGGCTGCCCCTCAGGACGCCTGCGCGCTGGCTGTACTGGAAAAGGCCCTGCATGTCTCCAAGCAGGCCATGGGGCTTAAGGACAAGCCGATCATCTCCGTCCGTGGTCAAGGCGGTGCTCCGGCTTCGCGGACCTGAGGGTGCTGCAGCTGCGTCGCGCCTAGGCCAGTTTAGCAAGGCTCGGAACGTCGGAGCCCATCCCGATGTAGGCCTGGAGGACACCATCTACGAGATGCTCTCGAACCAGGACTCGGACGTGGACTCCAACAAGTGCTGGGAGAGCGCCGAGCAGAAGGAGAGGCTGGAGGTGAGCAACTTTGCGAACCTCGGGGCCCTAGAGCGGACGTTCCAGAAGATGCAGGCGGGTACTCACGTGCTGAAGGCGTCCGTGGACAGCACCGACACCTCCTTCGCGGGGCACGCCAACGAGGACGATGTGGCGCGGACCGCCGTGGAGCCCCACAAGGCGGATGAGGAGAACCAGGAGGAGGTGGCGGGCTTCGCCAGCGTGTCGCGACGACTACGTCAAGAAGCACGCCGAGCAGGAGGCCCTGGAGGCAGAGGAGCTCATGTGCCCCCGCTCGGGCCCCCCTGGAGGGCGGCGTCGCGGTTCGGTGCTCGGCCGGGTCGGGCGGTGGTGGCCCGCGGTTCTTTTGGCATCGGCGACTTCGGCACAGGGCCCCGCTCTTCCTCGGACGGTGGATCACCCGGCTCACGCTGGACGAACGCCGCATAATGTTAAGTCGGGCGTGTGCCTCTACAGAACAAGTTTTCGAAAATAGTTAAAAAATAGTCGGGGGATGACTTTTTCGTATTCTTGACTATTTCGGAGTATTTTTCCTGCGTGTTTTTCCGTTTTCGTCCAAAATCCGCCTGTAGGGGACATGCCCGACCTAAACGCAGTGTCGAGACACATGTTTTTCGTCGCCGTTTTTTGTGGAGGCAGCCTCGGCGGGGGCCCTGGCGTTGGAGTGAGCCCCTTCATGGCGGTGGGGGTCCGCGTCTCCCCCGCCAGCGCGCGCGGCTTTTCGCGGGCTGAGCTGGCGACCTGCCTCGCGGAGGCCCGTGCTCCTCCTGCGGGCGGGCTGCGAGACAGGCGGGACAGGGCCCCGTTTGGTCACTCCTCGGTCTCTCGTCGTCATCCCCCCCACTATTCCTCATCCTCCCCAGTCGCAACCGCCTCTTGCCCTCTCCTGCCCTAGACCCTCCAGCCTCTCTCCCTCGTCCGTTTGCCTACTATCCCCTTGCCCTCGGCTGCTTCGAGGAAGGCTGCCGTTTGAAGAGGGGGCAACGCGATCGCAGCCGGAGTTGGAAGCATACGGCAGCAACGCGGACGATAGAAATTTCAGTCAGATGCGATGCTCTTCGTCTTCGTACCCTCCTCTTTCCCCTCCCCCCCATCCTGCCCATTCCTTTTCTTCCCCTTCCATGTGTTCCTCCTCCCTCTTACTTACCACACCGTCTACTCAAATACTCTTCCTCCTCTTCCTCCTTCCCATATCATCAGCATCATCGTCATCGTCTTCTTCATCAAGCCCTGGCCCCAGGTTTTGGGGCATGAGGGCCCGCCCGCTTGTTTTCGCAGTTTTGAATTCCTCCTCGGCACTAGGATGTGTGGCCGCCCAGATGAAAATAGCCCAGTTGAATCCCTGGAGATGGCACAACAGGTCACATTCGCAGATGTAGTTTTAGTGCCGGCCACGAAAGTGAACAATCACCCGCCTTATCACGAGCTGTTCTACGACAACGATTTGAGGATGTTTCATTTTGGGCGTCTCAATGTTCGAGGCACCCTTGCACACAAAAACTGTGGAGTAGCGAGATCGTTGAATCGGCAGTGATTTCGGATATCACACCTCGCTCATGTTTGGCCAGTACCCATTACGTTCCATGGGAGACTTCGAGCGGTGAGAGCGGAATCCGCCCAGTCCGATTTCACGATGATGATGACCTAGCTCCCGCCGGGATGCACGGAACCGCGCAGCATCTGCCATTCTGTGGCCACGGTTAAGCGGCTGGTCGGGAAACTCCAGGGCATCACGGACGGCACACCCAACCAGAGCACCATGATTGCCCCCGCCGACCCGAACAACAGGATGCGTCCACAGTCTTTTGACGGCCTGATCCAGGAGGTAGAAGGCGTGAGTTGAGGACCGTTTGCCCCAAGCGTGCAGCATGTGGTTGGCACTACGTGTCGAAATCGGCTGGAGTCAACTGGATTGGCAGTGGCCACCATCTGGTACCCGTGTGGTGCGACATATCATGGGCACAACAGCGCGCGCGACATAGATCATTTGGCGATCTCAGCACCGTGGGTGGATCGAACGCACTGGCGCGCGATTGCCTACAACCTTACCAGTTGGAGGGTGAAAGAAAGGGTCTGCTAAAGGGGGTTTGCAATGTGGGTTGAATGGCCCATGCATGCTCAATGGATCGCTCATGTATGTGATCAGGTACGATTGGCATCCAATGTTGGCGGTCATGGAAGGCCAGTCGTTCGCGCCCGCGCGTTGCCCGCGCGGGCAAACGCGCCGTCCATCCATTATCGTTCATGCGTGCGGGCGTCCTTGCATATCGCTCGTGGGGCGGCGAAGTGGTGTGCAAGTGTGTCTTGATTGCGTATGTTCCCAAACGATGACTTGTCGACCCCAAAGACAGATTTGGAATGGGCCCCGCGATTCTCCCAAAGTGTGAATTCTCATGTTCCTTTTCCCCAATATTTTAATTCACATTTTCCTTACCCCAAAATGTGCATTCACATTCTGGCCCTTTTTCATAAAGATTCCTACACATAGTTCCAACATGTGAATTCACATGTTCCTCGTTCCCAAATTGTGAATTCACATCCCCCTTTTTACCAACATGTGAATTCACACTTTGCCTTTCCCCACAGTGTGAGTTCACATTTTGTCCTTGCCCTCAAGACCCCTCGCACTAAGGCGCAGCGTTCCGCATGTCAGATTGGATGCGCAGATTTTGATATTCACCCCGCCGCTTGTATTCCAACAGTTCTTCTTGCGCCCTCAGCGCACGTTGCCTTCGTCGCCTTTCCCCAGTCTCCCCGCCCCTTGCTTCGTTCACCTTCAAGTCTCGCGCGCGGGTGCAGTCGGGGAGCTTCAATTGGTTCCCGCGCCGAATACAGTAATCGAGGATGCATCGCCCATGCGTGGTCTTTGGAGACATCATTGCTGCGGCCCTGCGCCCGACCCCCACATTCACCGTCCAAACCAGACAGGCGCGAGCAACACCGAGCGAAGCCATCCTGAACCACGCGATCAGCGTCACAGATTTGGACTACCAGCTTACCTACACATCACCACGGCAGGCAAACAAGCACTGGGACTTCTTCACGCTTAGCAAATCCATAAGAACGAGGAGGGGGCGGAACAGCCCAGGAACATCGCGGAGAAGGCGTCGAAGGCGAAACTACAACTAACTTGAAGGATAAATAGAGACAGCGGCTTGGATGCGGCCAAAACCATTGGAGTCAACGCGGTCAGAGATGGCACAGACGGCACAGGAGCGCAGGGACGCACGTTGCGTTCCAAATCGATAAGACATCTCAGAGTGGCACGCGAGGCAGGCGCGCGGGAGGGAGGCGGCATTGCGGCCGAGAACAGCAGCTCGATATCAATTCGACAGCGAACTTGAGCGCGCGCGGCGCCTTCGAAAGTGCACGCGACGATGCGCGCTGGCACGAGCGCGACAGAGAATGCGACAAGCTGATCAGTTGCGCGAGGAGCGACGCGCGAACTGGGAGGATGTGGCTTGACGGGCACGTTCTGACATGGCTGGTAACGGACCTGCACCGCGGCGACGGAATTTCTATCTCCCACCAGAATTTCAGCCTGATTTACAGATGGGGACGGAAGACCTCGCACCTGGAGGCGCGGGCGGACTTGCTGCCGCGCAGGCGGGGCAGGGCGAGTTCATCGAGAGGCCGCTGGAACTGGGCCACCATGCATCCTGAGAGGCAGCGCCACGGGCAAGCGAATCGTGATCTGGGCAGACCCATCGAGAAGTTCCCACGATTGCGCAGAAGGCGACCATCTCATATTTGGCATTTCCCGACGGAGGCGCGGCGTTGACTGCTGCGTTGTCGTGAAGCCAGGCCACTTAGATATAAGCGCGCCAGCGGTGGGCCCTTCGCCGCGAGAGTTTGCACCGGCACAGTTGGGGGCAGCACGGCAACGATAGCGGCTGCATTCACCGTGGAATCTGCCGCGCACATGTCACGCGACCAAGATGAACAACAAGCCACGCGCGCGCGGCGCGCGACTACTACATGGTCTAGACAGTTTTGAAAGGAGCGGGTCTGACGATCCAAGGTTGCCGCGCGAAGGTCGCGGGGGCGCGAGGAAGAGATCGAGGGTCGGCGCGCTCGCGGTCGGCTGCGCGCCCCGCGCTGGAGGCAGCGCGAGCCCGGGCCGGGCCGCGTCGCCGCCAAGCATGACGCGACAAACGCGTTCGCCAGCGTCAGCAACGAGCACTTGGCCAACGCGTCGCACCAGATGCGCCGCCCCGAGGACGCGCAGATCACGCGGTCGAGACATCGTCGCACGGCCCGCGCGGCGAACGCGCGCGATGGCGTGGGGGCCTCGCAGAACCGCGCCGACAGCTCCATGGGCGACTCCGACGCGGCCGCGAAGTTCAGGGTTGCCATCGAACGACCCGCAGCGGAGCGGAGGCAGGCATATTCCCTCGCCTCCCCAGCGCGCGAGCTGATCGCGGGGCGCCCTCTTCGCGCAGGCGACGCGCGACCACGGCTTCCGAAAGTACGCGGGCGACTTGACTAGCGCGCGCGTCGCCCCTGGCGCGCGCAGCGCGGCGGTTGTGGTCGAGACCTCGGGCGGGCACTTCGACGAGGCCCTCGATCAGATCGGGCTGACGCAGCCGCGAGAAAAAAAGCTGACAGCCAGTAGTTCGCGGGCCGAGGCCCCCAGAGATCCGCGAGTGCTTCGCGCGCCCGTGGGGCCCCGATTTCAGGCGACGTTCGGGCCGCGCCAGCATTGTCGGGAGCTTGCGCGCAGACTTCGGGGGGGGGCGGGGGCGAGATGCGCGCCGGGCGCGCGCCCGCGCGCGTCGGGCAGCGCGGCGCGGGGGGGCGTCGGGGGATCTGCCCGCGCTTCGGTCGTGAGAGGCTGGCATTCCAAAGTGGGGCGATCGGCGCGGCTGTCTGTGGATTGCACGCGGGGATACCCGCGCGGGGCCAGGGGGGAAGCTCGACTCCGCTGCCGCGCGATGCGCGAGCGCCCCGTGCCAGAACATTGCGATGCACTGACAGATGAACGGTGGAAGGCTGCGACCAGGTGCGCGGCAACAGTGGGAGAAATGTCGGGTCGCCTTTCCGAGCGTCGGAGTCGTCGCTCGACGCCCGCGACATCATCGGGCGCCCGCTCGCCGCCCCAATCAGCGCGCCCAGGAGCTAGCGGCTGTCTATGGGGGGGCCGCGTTCGAGAATGCGGCGCCGGAGCAGTCCTCTCGGGCGCCCGCGCGCCCGGCGGAGTCCGCCCCGAAGGGTCGTGCCAACCCGTGGGCCCGCAGCTCAAGAGTGATATGTTCAATTTGGGAAAGCTCGAGGGGTGGCCCCGATTTTTCGGGGGGCGCGCGACTTCCCGCGGGCCTCGCGAAGACTTCGAAGTTCAATATGAAACGATTCAGAGCTCTGGCTTGGGGGCCCGACGAGGGCCCCCGCCGAGCGGAGCGAGGGCCAGGGGCGCTTCGTGGGCGACAACTTGCGCTCAACACTCAACGGGGAGCGCCTGGGGCGCACGCAGCCAGGGGTCTCGCGCGGCACGCGCGCCGCGCGCTCATCAGACACGCAGCGGGCGGGGGGGGGGCGCTGACAAATCGACGCGTTCACCAGATTCGCGGCTACCGATCAGCGCCCATCGCGCACGTTCGAATTTTCGGGTCGCCGCGCAGCCATCGACCGCATCGCCGCAGCCTGTAGACTCTAGACACGGGGCGGCGCATTGCCACTAGGTCGATGCTCAACTTCCCCGCGGCGCATCTGCAGCAGCTTGCTGACCAGAGGCAGAGTGCGCAGGGGAGTTCACGGACCTTCTCTCCTTGCAGCAGCGCGTTGCCGAGTCTCATCTACCATTGCATCGGCCGCGCGCCGCGGCTGCGGTCGCCCTTGCGACGGCGCGGGCAAACAACGGGCCATCGCGCGAAAAGGCCGCGCAGGGCGCCGAAGGAGGAGCAGCACCATCGGGCAGTCAAGCAGAAGACGGGCCGCAGAGAAACGGCCCCAATCACGTGGACACGACCGAGCTAGACGACGGCATTATGGAAGTCCAGACTACGCAGAAGTCATTCCCAATCGCGGCGAAGTTCATTCTCAAAGCAGCGCGGAGGCGGAGGCAGATCGTGTCGAGCGAGTCGAAGACTTCCCGGATGTCGTCGGGCACGAAGGCGGCGACGAAGGCGAAGGCTCGCGCCGAGGCGCGGGCCCGCGCCGCCGAGGCGCACAGGTCGACTCTACCAACGGCCGAGGCGGAGCAGAAGATCGATGATATGGGCGCTTATCCAGTGACGCGCTAGGCGGGCGCGCTCGACGATCTGATCGCGGAGGGCAACGCGGCGGGGCGAGCCAGCCAGGAGGCGCTCGAAGAGTTGAGCAAGCAGCATGACGCCCCCGCGGTCTACGAGATGGGAGAGGTCGTGCTTCTGGTCAAGATGTTTGACTGCCACGCGGAGGGCACGGTGAAGCTTGCGTTGTCCTTCAGCTCGCGCCCCAACGTGGCGCCCGCGCTGGCGGCCCTCGTCCGCGCCAGGATCGGAGGCGAATATGGCGCGGCCCCTTGTGGGCCACGTGGGGCGACCGATGCACGCGGGGCTGCGCGACATCGAGAGTTCCACGCGAGATTGAGAGCCCCCAAATGCGAGGAAGGACCGGATTGAGCGACCCGCGCAGAGCCTGAGACATACAGCTAGCAAACCGATGCTCGAGATCCCCACTTCTACCCGTCTCGGGCCTCCGTCCTCTGAACCCCCTCTCGCCCTGTCTCCGTTCCAGAGCAGAGCCAGGCAAATGGGGCCAGGGGCGTTTTTGTCTCTCGGGGCATCCGCGGCGCTGCCACTCGCCGCCCCTTTTCTCGAGGAGAAGAGTCGGTCCGACCTGAGGGGGCAGGCGGCGGAGGGAGGGCCTCGAGATTCACGCCACGAGAGTGCGGGCCCGGCCCGCCGACGAGAAGGAGACATACCGCCCCCGCCTCCCCTACCCTCCCTCCTCTCTTCGTCAAGCCTCCTTTCCCTTCTACTCCCGCCAGAAGGCAATTCGAGCTGCTGAAACAAGATGCCTCGGTGGGGCCAGGCGGAAGGTGGAGCGCCCCGCGTCCGTAGGACGACGAATCCAGGCAACGCGGGCTCAAAATGGGCGAAGATCTCCATAGCTCCGGCGGGCACCAAGCAGAAACATGGTCCCGCGGGGCTCATTATTTCAGTCGTGATTACGAGAGGCCGTGGGCAGGTGGAGGGTGGGGCGACAGCGACAGGGCTAGGCTTTGTGGTGAGTCGCGACGCTGCAAGGCCACACATCGCAGACTGACGCTCGGGCGCAGCCCGTTCGGCGCAGCCCGTTCCTAGGGGCTTTTGCTCGGTGGGAAACGATGCTGGCCCCCCATGGGTTCTGACCAGCTCATCATCATCACGATTATCATCACCGTTCCCATCAGTATCATCAATCAGATCATCATCAGCACCGTCGCCACCATCAACATCGTCATCAACATCATCATCATCATCATCATCATCATCATCATCATCATCATCATCATCATCATCACCATCATCACCATCATCATCATCATCATCACCATCACCATCATCATCCCTCTTACTCGACCCCTCCTCATCCTTGTTCCCCACCCTCCTCCCCCACCCCCCTCCGACGACGGCGGGCACGACGACGACGAGACGGCGCCCACGACGGACCACGACGGACGAGTGCGGCCATGGCGGCGATGACGACGACGACGACGACGACAACGAGAATGGCGACGGACGAGCCGAGGACGCGTCTCCGACGACGAGCGCGGCGACGCGATGCCGACGGGAGCGCGGCCGGCTACGCTACCGAGGCGCAGCTCGAGGCGGCGAAGGAGAAAACGGCTCAACGCCGGGAACGGCTTGAGGCGCCGCTTCGAGGGGGAGGAAGCGGAGGGGTGAGGGGGGAGGGACGAGGAGTACGAGCAAAGCGGACGAGGAGGGAGATGGAGGAAGAGAGGAATGAGGAGGAGGGGGAGGAAGAAGAGGACGGGGAGGAGGAGGAGGAGGAGGAGGAAAACAAACAGGCGGAGCCAGAGGAGGAGGAGGTGGAAGTCGGAAGCCCAAGAAGCGCCAACGATATTGCAACATGTTTCCCTCCAAGTTCCCTTTTTCAAAGATCCCTACCAGAATATATGGTCATGGCGAGGAGTGGTTCCATTCGAAGACATCTCGTCAGCCATGCCAAAACACAACTCCTGTGAGTGCAGCACCGCGAATCAGCGTGATTGCTGCAACCTGACAAGTGTAAATCGTGCCAGAAAACAAATCTTGGGACTTCAACACCGCGAATCAATTTGACTGTTGCGTGCTGACACTCCGGAATCGTGCCAAAACACTTCTCCTGGGATTGCATCCATACGACTATCGAAAACTACTACAAACGTTTAAGACGAAGATGCTCGGCGGTAAGGAGAGGGCCACAAGTTGGAAAGCACCCGGTCTCAATCCTTGAAGCTGCTGCAAGCGTTTAAAACGAATGTGCCTGGCATTACGGCTATAACCATATTTGAAAAGCACCCGCTTTCCATCCTTGAAACTCTTGCAAACTTTTGAGACGAAGATGCTCGATGTTGAGGCGAGAGCCACACTTTGAAAGAAACACGCCCTCCATCCGTGAAGCTGCTGCAAACCTTTAAGACGGATGCGCGCTGCTTGAAGGCGAGGGTTACATGTTCATAACGGCCAGCCTTCCATTCTCGGCACGGTTGCGGGTCTCAAGCTTCAGGATCAGAGTTGGTGAGGAAGTCTCAGGCGAAACACCCGACCCGCACTACCGACACGTCTGGGAGTGCGGCAGAAAATAGTTGCTCATAAGGATAGAGGATGGAGGAGGAGAAGAAGGAAGGGGGGCGAGGAGGAGGGGGGAGGAGGAGGAGGAGGAGGAGGAGGAGGAGGAGGAGGAGGAGGAGGAGAGGGAGGAGGAGAGGGAGGAGGAGGAGGAAGAGGAATAGGAGAACCGTGAGCTTGGCCCCCGTGTCCTTGAGCAAACAGGCGGGGACGACAGCGCCGAGGAGCGCGAGTCAGACGCCGAGTTGTTTTGATTGTGTTTGAGGCAATGACCTCGCGCTCAGCGCAAACCCATACCATACCATACCATACCCCTTTGTTCCTTTCTCTCGACTGTCTATCGAACGGATGGCACTGCCAATGCGTGCGCGCTCAGAGTTCAAGTTTAGTTGTGTGTCCGCTGCGAGTGCCCAGATGTGGCCCCTTTGATGTTGAACCCACGTGCCATTCGGCTTGATCTCCAGGTGCAAATTATATCGGTCACCATGTCACGGCATCGTCTAATGATCTCATGCCGCTCTCTCTCCCTTGGCGCTAAACCGGTCTGTATCGTAGTATCGGTTGGGGCGATCGTTGGCCGCGCCCTCTGAGGCGTTATCATTCCGAGTAGCCAGTTACGTGCTGATTGCCAGAAGCCGAACAAGCAATTAATGAAGTAGATTTGCATTGCAGTATCAGTCTGCCTTGGGGCCATCATCGCTGAGTCTTAGGGCGTATTGGCGCCATGTCAGGGCCGTCGCAAGGCCTGGCGCCGATTGGCCCCTGCTCGTGGATCGTTATTGGCCCCCATTGCGGCTCTCTTGGAACACTCTTCAGGCCTTTTCTGGGGGAGGTTGGGATTCTCTTGGGACTCTCTTGGGCCAACGGAGGGGCCGAGGAACCAGTCGGGGCCGCACAGGCGAAGTGGGAAAAGAAACGTATGCGTATGTACCTATACGGCCGGCGCAAGGCTTAAGAACTTCGGTGGTTCGGGGAGGGTACCCTTATGTTCTTCGTTTTTGTTCCATGTTCTTCTGCACCCTGGGGGAGGGTATCCTCGATGTTCTTCAGTTTGGCGCCATTATTCCTTCGTTCTGACAAAGCTGGGGTTCGGGGCTCACGATTCGGCTACGAGCGTCCGCGGCGGGGGCGGGACCCTCCATGTTCTTCGGTCCCGAAGTCACGGTGCGGCCTTCAGCAACCGCGTGCCCCTTCATGATGGTGGTGCGATTGCAATCACCCTCGCATGTTCTTAGGGGACTGTTTGGCGTTGGTGGGCTTCGGGCTGCGGGGCTTAGGGCGTGCGGATGCAGGCTTGATTGAGGCTACGTACGCACGTAGGCCGCAGGGCTCGCGCGTCCGCGGCACGGGCAGGACCCTCCATGTTCTTCGGTTTCGATGTCAAGGTGCGGCCTCCAGCAACCGCGTGCCCCTTGATGATGGCGGCGTGAGTGCAATCACCCTCGCATGTTCTTAGGGGAGAACTTGGCGCTAGTGGGCTTCAGGTTTCGGAGAGTAGGGTGCGCGGCTGCAGGCATGAGGCTAGGGCGGGCGGGCGAAGCCACGCGCAGCTTCCTGGGCTGCGGCAGGGCTGGGAGGTTGGATGTGCGGATGACGTTCAGGACGTAGCGCTGATGTCGGTCCTATGCTAAGGCCCATGGGGTAGGCCGCAGGGCTCGCGCAGCCGCGGCGCGGGCAGGACCCTCCATGCTCTTCGGTCTCGATGTCAAGGTGCGGCCATCCGCAACCGCGCCCCCCTGGATGATGGTGGCGCGAAAGGAATCGCCCTCGCATGTTCCTAGGAGAGAGTTTGGCGGTTGCTGGGCATCAGAGCGGGGCATGTGCGCGCGTGCGTGCGTGCGTGTGTGCGCGTGTGCGTGCGTCCTACCGAGGGCCACGCAAAACTTGACATGCGCGTCTGCGCTGCCGAAAGCGAGTTAAGAAGCCCGCGTTGTCAGCAATAGAAAAGTCGCCATGTTGGCTTGGAAAACCAAAGTGAACCTTCAGCGTCGCCAGTCAGATTTCCAAGTTAGCATGGGCTCTGGCGCATGCGTTCAGCAGCGGCGCATGCAAACACTCCTCGCGCGCGCCTGCGCCGCCGCGCGCGCGGCGGCGCAGGGGCGTGGGGCGCTCAGTGTTATCAGCAGTAGAAGAAGCGCCATGTTTGCCTGGAGAATCAAAGTGGACCACTAGCGGTTGCCGATTGGATTTCCAAGTCAACATGGGTTCTGGTGTACGTGTCTTGCAACGGCGTATACAACAACCCCTCGCGCGCGCCCGCGCCGCCGCGCGCGCGGCGGCGCGTGCGCGTGGGGCGCCCCGCGTTATCAGCAATAGAAAAGTTGCCATGTTGGCCTGGGAAATCAAAGTGAACCCTTAGTGGTTGCCGATTGGATTTCGAAGTTAACATGGGTTTTGGTGCATGTGTTCTACAACAGCGCAGACAAACACTCCTCGCGCGCGCCTGCGCCGCCGCGCGCGCGGCGGCGTGTGCGCGTGCGGAGCTTCGCGTTATCGGCAATAGAAGAGTCGCCATGTTGGCCTGGAAAATCAAAGTGAACCCTTAGCGGTTGCCACTTGGATTTCCAAGTTAACATGGTTTCTGGTGCATGTCTTCTGCAACAGCGCGCGCAAAACTTCTCGCGCGTTCCTGCGCCGCCGCGCGCGCGGCGGCGCGCGCGCGAGAAACGCCGCAGCGCCAGCAATAGGACAGTTGCCGCGTTGACTGGGGAATTCAAAGGGAGCCCTTGGAAGTGGGCAGTTTGATTTCCAAGTTAACATGGGTTTTGGTGCATGTGTTCTGCAGCGGCGCATGCAAACACTTCTCGCGCGCGCCTGCGCCGCCGCGCGCGCGGCGGCGCAGGGGCGTGGGGCGCTCAGTGTTATCAGCAGTAGAAGAAGCGCCATGTTGGCCTGGAGAATCGAAGTGGACCACTAGCGGTTGCCGATTGGATTTCCAAGTCAACATGGGTTCTGGTGTACGTGTCTTGCAACGGCGTATACAACAACCCCTCGCGCGCGCCCGCGCCGCCGCGCGCGCGGCGGCGCGTGCGCGTGGGGCGCCCCGCGTTATCAGCAATAGAAAAGTTGCCATGTTGGCCTGGGAAATCAAAGTGAACCCTTAGTGGTTGCCGATTGGATTTCGAAGTTAACATGGGTTTTGGTGCATGTGTTCTACAACAGCGCAGACAAACACTCCTCGCGCGCGCCTGCGCCGCCGCGCGCGCGGCGGCGTGTGCGCGTGCGGGGCTTCGCGTTATCGGCAATAGAAGAGTCGCCATGTTGGCCTGGAAAATCAAAGTGAACCCTTAGCGGTTGCCACTTGGATTTCCAAGTTAACATGGTTTCTGGTGCATGTCTTCTGCAACAGCGCGCGCAAAACTTCTCGCGCGTTCCTGCGCCGCCGCGCGCGCGGCGGCGCGCGCGCGCGAGAAACGCCGCAGCGCCAGCAATAGGACAGTTGCCGCGTTGACTGGGGAATTCAAAGGGAGCCCTTGGAAGTGGGCAGTTTGATTTCCAAGTTAACATGGGTTTTGGTGCATGTGTTCTGCAGCGGCGCATGCAAACACTTCTCGCGCGCGCCTGCGCCGCCGCGCGCGCGGCGGCGCCGCCGCGCGCGCGGCGGCGCAGGGGCGTGGGGCGCTCAGTGTTATCAGCAGTAGAAGAAGCGCCATGTTGGCCTGGAGAATCAAAGTGGACCACTAGCGGTTGCCGATTGGATTTCCAAGTCAACATGGGTTCTGGTGTACGTGTCTTGCAACGGCGTATACAACAACCCCTCGCGCGCGCCCGCGCCGCCGCGCGCGCGGCGGCGCCGCCGCGCGCGCGGCGGCGCGTGCGCGTGGGGCGCCCCGCGTTATCAGCAATAGAAAAGTTGCCATGTTGGCCTGGGAAATCAAAGTGAACCCTTAGTGGTTGCCGATTGGATTTCGAAGTTAACATGGGTTTTGGTGCATGTGTTCTACAACAGCGCAGACAAACACTCCTCGCGCGCGCCTGCGCCGCCGCGCGCGCGGCGGCGTGTGCGCGTGCGGAGCTTCGCGTTATCGGCAATAGAAGAGTCGCCATGTTGGCCTGGAACACATGCACCAAAACCCAT